ACCAACCAGTGGGAGGACTTCCTGGGAACTATAGGAACCAGCGTCCAGAAGTAGGGGTCCCYCCCCCTCACCCCTCCTCCTGAAGCGTTCTTTCTTTATTTTATTTTTTAAAGAATCCCTGACCGAGCTGTTTGAATGTGTTTGCAGCGTACGGCGGGAGATGGAGGAAGAGGTGGGGCAGATGCAGCAGACCATCCAGCAGATGGAGCAGTCATGTGACCCCCTGTARGCGCCGTGCGACCCCGACCCCGCCCAGTCGCCCGTTTGTCGCAACCTCACCAGAAAGCAGGGCTACCTTTACATCCGCAAGTGAGACACAAAARACGTCTTTGATGCGAGTCTTTGGCGTCTCGGCGGGCTTAACTCCAACCTGGGTGTCGTCCGACAGTAAAACCGGCTTGGTGTCGTCYTCCTGGGAGCGTCGGTACTTCTTCACGCAGGGCGGGAACCTGATGCAGCAGGGCCGGGGCGAGGTGGCGGGCGGCCTGGTCACGGACCTCGACAACTGCTCCGTCATGGCCGTGGACAGCGACGACCGCAGGTTRTGCTTCCAGGTCACCTCCTTCGACGGCAAGAAGTGAGTCAGCGGCATGACTCAGCGTTTTTTTGTTATTTAAGATCAAACAGAGCTTAATGAAGGTTTTCTTTTTGTGTTTAATCAGAGTGGTGACGCTGCAGGCGGAGAGCAGGAAGGAATGTGAAGAGGTAAAAGCTTTCTGTCTTGTAATCTCCATGTTGATCGTTCGTTCTCACGCCGCGTCTGTTGTTTCTGCGACAGTGGATCGCCACCATCAACAACATCTCCAGGAGGATCTATCTGAGCGAAAACGCTGAGGTTTGTCTTTTTATGTCCAAGCTCAGATCTAAAAAAAACACAAACCTGGAGCAGGTCAGGATGGTTAGGAAAGCTCATCTCTGATTGGTTTGCAGGAYTTGGCGGCCAGAGTGAACCAAACGGCTCTGGAAGCGGTGACGCCGTCGCCGTCGTTCCAACAGAGACACGAGAGCATGAGGCCCAGCAGGTAGGAGGAAGTGAAAGACCTTGGAATGGTTCAGACCAGGCTTATTATAGT